TTTTGGAGATTGTATCCCAGTACTGCTTTTCCTCCTCCATTTCTTCTGAGGGATTTTTGCCCACAGTACTATACCTGATGGTCATCTGAATTAAATTCACCCATTCCAGTCCATTTTAGTTCACTGATCCTAAGATGTCGATGTTCAGTCTTGTCATCTCTTGTTTGACCATATCCAGCTTGCCTGAGTCATAGAACTTACATTCCAGGCTCCTATGCAATATTGATCTTTACAACATCGGACTCTCCTTTCACGACCAGATACATCTGCAACTGAGTGTCCTTTCGGCTTTGACCTGGTCGCTTCATTCTTTCTGGCGCTACTAGTACTAGCCCTCTGCTCTTTCCCAGTAGCACATTGGACACCTTCTGACCTGAGGGGCTCATCTTTCAGCGTCATATGGTTTTGCCTTTTGGTACTGTCCATGGGGTTTTCATGGCAGGGGTACTGGAGTGGGTTGCCATTTCCTTCTCCAGTGGATCAGGTTTTGTCAGAGCTCTCTGCTATGACCTGTCCTTCTTGGGTGCCCTTGCACAGCATAGCTCATAGCTTCATTGTGCTACACAAGCCCCTTTGCCACGCCAAGGCAGTGATCCATGAAGGGGGTATTCAGAAGTAAGCTTGAGTAAATATCAGATTGCAGTCTAATGAAAATTATTTAATTAAGTATGCAACATTTTGCATATTATATACATACTTACATGTCTTTACCTCCAGTCATCCACTCTCAAACCCACCAAAAATCCATCTTAAACATTCTTTGCATGCTTATGGATATTTTCGTAGGAGTTTTAAATCTGATTTCCTTGTGTCTCTTTCAAAGCCCATTTTCCTGTTCCATATACAACTCAAACTCCAGTTTCTAAATTATTTGGGTACAAAGTTTATTCAACCACAATAGACCATGGTTTTGATTCCTAGCAGAATAAGCATATGGACTTTAAGCCCCAGTCAGTGAAATTAGATATCTGGCACAAGATTCCGTATAGTAAATGTCACCCTAGCCATTTCCATGGAATGCAGTATTACATTTGTCTCATCTGAGATGAAGAAATGTAAGGAAGGAATATGGACTGGCTTAGCATTTTGGCTTTCAAATAAGTGAGTGATCAAATGTTTTCTCCCTTGATTTTGAATACTGAATGTCCAGTTCCCCAGAATGCCCAGATAAAGGATGCTGGAACCATTTTTATGGTTTTGTTTTTAGCTCTTCCCATTGTAACCAGAACATCACCCATCTGGTTTTAAATTGTTGCTAGCAATTTCATGATCGTGGAGAAAGGTGAAGTAATACTTTTGGATATTTCTAGAAAATTCAATTCCTCTGGCAACCCCGAAAAAACCCAAAAGGGATCATGAGGAGATGGAATTCCAGAAAGTGTGCAATGAGCACATTTTTGCTTCTCTGATGTGACTCTTTTTCTGTCCTTCAAAAAGTGGCCACTAGTTCCTGCACAGTTTCTCTTCCTCCCTCTCCTCTGTGCAAATTTAATAGGGAAGGAGGAAGGCAGATTTGAAATATATTAAACTGCAATCAAGGAAAGTAAGCCACAAAAAGTAAGCACATAAAGCTAGAAAGAATGAAATAAAAACACCACCAGTGACTTAAGTGCATACTTTTTAAATTTATGTTTTATTATAAATGTTCTCAAAACCATAAAAAAGAAAAACTGAATATGTAACTAAATAGATTTGAATATTTATTTTATGATTACATTTATAGCCTGATTTTTTATTCTTGTAAGGAATCCAGAGCAGCTTATATTATCCTCTTTCTGCTCTCGATTTTATCCTCACAACATCCCTGTGAGGTAGGGTAGACTGAGTGTCAGTGACTGGCCCAAAGTCACCAATAAGCTTCATGCCTGAGTGGGACTACAAGCCAGATCTCCCAGATCCTGGTCCAACACTGCATTAGACTGGCATCTAAATACTGCATTAGACTGGCTTAATTGTGCATATATTTCTGCAAAGACAAACCAAATATCCATATTGGTATCCATTTGATAGTGCCATCCACTCAAATGTTGAAAATATCATTAGGTTATAAGGAATGAGCATTTATACTTCTAATGTTTTGACAATCATTTGGCTGTCAAATGGGCAGAGAAAATCTATTTACATTGATCATGCATTAACTTCCAGAAAGCAGATAGACAGTTTAAAAGAACATGTTCATCAGTTCATACTAATGAGTGTTCAAATACAGAATTTATCTGAATTATAACCTCCCCCCAAAAAGAGGAGGATACAAAAGAAGCTAATACAGCAATTTCATGATTGCCAAAAAATATTATTACAGGTAGCATGAGCAATTACACCTTCAACTGTTAGCCCACTTAGACAAACCCTTATTAAAGAGATGTCATGGCATCCAATAAACCAAAAACAGTAACTTTTGTTAAATAATTGAGATCCCTTGAAGCTTCAGATACAGATGTTAAAACAGCAATCCATTATTTAGACTGAATATGACAATCCAATTCCCTATTCCATTCCTGCTTTATATCTTGTGCATCATGTTTATTCACCAGTTATACATGTTTGTAAACATGGAACATAGATAGACATATCTGATTGGCCTCAATAAGTGTTTCCAATGGCAAAGCAGACTGGGAAGCTGTAAAAGCTACAGAGCCAAACCTAGGTTCTAAGAAGCGTTGCAACTGCAAGTATTCTCCCAAAACAGGTGGACTGTATATGACAGAATAAAAATGACTGTATAAAAATGACAGAAATTTGTCATCAACCCCTGTAACTGATCCAACATAAAAACTAACATATTCATCCAAGTCCACCTGAAAAGCAGTTTCTTACCAATTTGCTGGATTTCACCATGCAATTAGGTTAGTATTGGACATTTTTCAAATACTATTCAACATGCTATCATCTGCCACACGTCCATAGCAACCATATCTGCAGGAGGAACCCTCTCCATTTAATATGCCAAGAGCCCATTGCCATCAATTTGAAAAGAGGGTCCAGACCAGAAGATTCCTGAAAGTTTTGGGAAAGACTAAAAGCAGTTAGCCCCAATATTATAAAACAGGTTCCAGAAAAACAAACTTACCTTCCTTGATGGAAAGTTAAATCTTTTTAAAGGATATTTGTGACATAGAGGAACTGCAACAAAACATTTTTGAGAGGTTTATTAAATATAACTGAAGGAATTCTATGTATAACATAAACAATCTGAGATATAATATTCAGCTTAAGTGTATTAACCTTACCATGCAAACTCAGTTTTAGAGATAACCATCTCTGTACAGCCCTGTGTGATCTCATTAGACAAATGGTTCAGCTTTAACTTATTCATCAGACTTCAGTCTCTGGGGAGGAAGTATTTCAAAGTAAGCAAGGACCAAGTATATACTTAACATGCTTAACATGCATCCCATTATTGGGCACTGATCTGGCATTGATATTCCTTGGAAACAAGCCTATAATAGAGAAGGAAAGGAGGTGCTTCGCCCACTACTGATCTTTTGGTTGTTTCCTCGTGTATTGTTTTGTTTGTTCTGTTTCCCAGTTTGAAAAGGATACATCTGATGTTTCACTACTGGCAGTAAAAGTTTTAAGCTAAAATACTTTAGTGTACATTAGTAATTTTGGCCCTAGCTCTTTTTGTCTTTGGCTTGCCTGTTACTGGAATATGGCCTCAAGGAGCTTCTCCAAAACTGAATCCGGCCCTCAAGCTAAAAGAGATCCAAAACTTCTGCATTACAGAATATCCATTTTGCAGAGTGGTCAAAGGGAGCTTCCAGACAGAGGGCTCCTAGTGCCAACAGGCAAAAATTATTGTGCATCTGTTTCATCTAATGTATTTTCCACAGTAAGAGAGAAGATAGAAAAAGTGATGGTGAAACATGAAAAGGTTATGAGTAGAGGATGACTTTGTAAAGGATGACCCTTGTAAAATTCAGTGAATGAATCAGGGTGATCACACCCAAAGTTATTAGATGATTAGAAACCTAGGTAATTAAGATAACAGAAGTGCCCAGTACTGAAGCACCTACTGTGCTTTCGTCTTCCATTTCTTATGGAGTTGGGGGTCAGACTAGATCGCCTAGGAGACCCCTTCTGACTTGTTTTGTTTCTACGTTTCTATATCTTATTAAACGTTGGTTTTATTGGTTCATTACTTTAGTCAGTGGGTACTGAAACAACATTGAAGACAAAATTAAATGAATAATACTGCCCCCGTATTTTTTTCAAAGACTTATAGAATGCTTTAGGTGAGGTCTTCAGCACTTCATTCACCGCATTTAGGAGTGGCCCAGGCTCCATCAATTTCCACCTACAGCCCTTCCATGTTTTCCCATCACTTATCTCTTTTTTCCTTATCAAAAAAATAAAAAATAAAAAACCCTATAAAGAAGAAACTATAGAACAACAGCACAATGTATTTTGACTCAGAACACTAGTCACTCTCTGTCGGGGAGCACCATGATCAACAGAATGCTTTTTGAAAGTTAAACACATGCTTTGATTGATGAGAATCCATACTGCAACTAGCTTTTGTGGGAAGGGAGATAATTAGCAAATATCTGTTTTTCATTAGGCTTGCAAATGACAAAATAATCGCTAAGATCGAAGGAACTGACATATCTTAGTGACTTGTTTACACTTAGTTTTAGTTTTTTTTTAAATGTGGCATTTACTGTTGAGCCTCTTTCTGTCCCAGGCACTAATGCATATTGAGGCAATCCTATATATCCACTCACTGAGTAGTTAACTCTGTTCAGTGGATGGAGCTTACTTCTTAGCAGACATGTATAGGATTTCACTGTTAATATAATTATTCCAAAGTTCCTCTGCTCACATTGCCTGAGTGGCTACCCAAGAGTGATACGTGAATCACCATGAATACTTTGTATATCAATGACAGATTTTCTGAAGCTTTATTCATATCAAGATGTTCATAATATATAAGGGAGAAAATAGTGAATATTTAGACCTGAGCACGTATTTATGCAATGAACTTCTTTTGCCCCCTATAGATTATAATACAAGTGAGCAGAAACAAGCCTGTAAAAAACATGAACTCTATGTGAGCTTCCGGGACCTGGGATGGCAGGTAGGTGCAATTCTATTTTAGGCAAAAAAAAAATCATTTTAAAAATAGAAAGAATCTGCACTTAGAATTTATGCAGGGGTGAGGAGAAGGAGGGAGGGAGAACTTCCAGCTAATCAAAATGTTCCCCATTTTCAAATACTATATAATAGATAATCATTAATTATGTGAATGGATTTTTAAAAAGTAAATTGCAGGCAGGGGTAGTTCTGCTCCTCAGTGGTTAATTATCTACAGGTTCCATAGAGCTTGGCTCTCCTTTTGTGATTATCAGATAATCTGTTACCTTTCTGTATCTCCTAATCTTTCCCAGGTATAGATTCTTCTTTTGCCTGGGTTCTCTTCTTCAAATAGTGTTGTTTGTTGATCTGGGATGCACAGGAGGAACACAAGAAAGAAAGTTTAAGCATTCCTCTCTACTTGTCCTCCTTCTGAAAATCATGTCTTCTCCTTCAGTGTTCGGGTAGTGATTGGGTTTTGCAGACCCTTATCTGCTGCTAAATTTCTAGTTCTTGTCCAGGTTGTGGGCCATTGATCAGATCTAATCCTGAAAGTTACAAACCTGTTGCAGTCTACAGGTGCTCCCCCGCAAAACAAAAACAAACGAAGGGTGGAGACACATCTTTCCACATTAAGATTTATTTATTTATTTATTTATTTAAAACATTTCTATGCTGTCCTTTACGACAATTGTCTCAGGACGGCTTACAACATTAAAACCAATAATCAATTAGAGCAATCAATAAAACAATAAAATAATAATATGACAAATAAAATAAATCAAGGTGACTGTTAAACTATTAAATTACTATGTTTTAAAATGACATTTAAATAAAAAGGTTTTAACCTGACGCCGAAAAGAATATAGCCTTGGTGCCAGGCGAACCTCTCTGGGGAGCGCATTCCACTCTGAGTGCCACTGCAGAGAAGGCCCTACTCCAAGTAGATGTCCTTTTTACCTCCTTCAGGGAGGGTTCCTGGAGCAGGGTCTCTCCCGCAGATCTTAAGGGACCATTTTCACACACATTTGTGCTGTTTTCTGGCCAGAATCTGGAAGAATCAAGATCTTCACTGTTTTAATGTGGGCTTGCACAAGCTTGATAAGATTTTAGATGGAAAGTACTGAGTTTGTATTTAAATATTCCATGTTTTATTTTTTAGGATTGGATTATAGCTCCAGAAGGTTATGCTGCATTTTACTGTGATGGAGAATGTGCATTTCCTCTTAATGCCCATATGAATGCTACAAATCATGCCATAGTCCAGACTTTGGTATGTATGTATATATCCCTAAATGTAAGGTTAGGTGGGCTTATGTCTGATTGAATCATTAGAACATAAATGTGTCTTCTGTAGATTTCAGTTTGACTTCAGTTCAGTGTGATTAACCAGGCCTCCAGTATGCACGGTGGGGCCAAGAGGACCAATGGTGACATGAATTAGATTATGAATTTATCCCCAGTCACAGTTGATAGTACTAAATAAAAAGATGGCTAAAAAAAACAGGCTTTAGGCAGTTTAGTTGCTTCAGGAGGGTAGCGCCTTACCCTACCCAACCATTGCTGTTCCACTGTAAACTGCAAGTGGACATCCCAGCCATTGGCTCTCCACATTTCAAAATGTGTACTGAGTTCTGGTGTGTGTACATCCACCAAGTCCCATCCATAATGGCTGTGACATAAGCCCATATTCATTTGCTTGTTTGTTTCCTTTTTATACTGCCCAATAGCCAAAGCTCTCCAGGTGGTTAACAAAAGTTTAAAACAACAAAAACGGGAAAACCATAAAACAATAAGACCACAGCAATTGCACCCAAATCAGCATGTAGGTATAGCAGCAGTGCAGGATAAGGTGTAATATTAAAAACTAAAATAAAAAAGTTAACTATTAAAATACTGGGAGAATAAAATGGTTTTCACCTGGTTCCAAAATATACAGAGTGGGTACCAGGCGTACCTCTTTGGGAAGCTCATTCCATAGCAGGATTGCTACAACCCAAAAGGCCATCTCCTGGTAGTCACCCTCCTTACTTCCTTTGGAGGGGGCTCCCAGAGAAGGACTCCTGAAGATGATGTCTTGACATATGCATCAAGGTGTTCCTCCAGATAATCTGGCCCCAGGCTATTCAAGAGGGCACTGAATATGATGGATTTTTAAAAAATAGAAACAAAATCCACAAAGAAAATAGTAGTTCTTTAAAATTAAATTGCAAACAGACACAGAGTTTTAAGGAAAAAGAAGTGTACTAGGCTATAGCATTAATACTTATATTCTAAGCACATGTGTGTCTTTCTTTCTTTTAAAGTGGCTGTATCACTACTGACAAATACTCTTATTAATTTGTTCCATCTTCATAAAGCAATGGCTAAGAAATTATAAAACAAAAGTTGCACTTTCCATTGCTTTCAAATGTGGCAACCTTATAGCACAGGCTCCCTGGAATAAAGCTGGGCATGTGCATTTCTTGACATGTTATTTTCTATTTATGAAATAACTTAAGAAAATTCATGCACTCAAACTTTTACTAAACTGTTTTTTTAAGGATTTATGGTTGTTCAAAAAAGATTTCTTCATGGTAACAGTTATATAAAAGCTGTTTCCCGATTGCCTGTTCTGTATTCTCTGGCAAGACTATGAGTTTATATCACTCCTGGGCAGATGGCTATAACAGATTTTAACAGTCTTACCAAACAAATGAAACTTATTACTGCTGAAGCTTTTATCCAGGTTTTAATAATCTTTTGTCCTTTCTATTACAACTCCCTCCTCAATGGCCTCCTCACTTTCTAACTCAACCAGTATGTGCAGAATATTATTTCTAATGTGTTTTTAAGTACAAAGACCCCGATTCTCAAATGTTTTCTCAAATGTTTCTACTACCTTTCCTTTCATTCCAGGAAAGTGTTCAACATTGGCTCCATTATAATTATCCAAGCCCATTTCGCAGAACGGCCTCTTCCTCTGACCTTCTTGCTTCTCCCAGGAAGCAGGCACACTGCTTGGACATTAGCCCAATCCTGTAGAAACTCTGGAACACCCTGACATACTTGGACATGGGAGATCATTTGGCTTCTGGAGCCAACAGTGCTCACAGGATCAAAGCAATAGCACTTTTGACTGGCAGGGATGATGCTATCATGAGCCACTCCCCTCAAAAGTGCCTGTTCCCACTGAACTTAGCTGCAGTCCACACAGAGGAAAACATGGATTTTCCCAGTGGTGATGCGCATGTGTGTATGCACCCACATTCCCTCCCTTCTCCCATCTCCATGTGTACGCATGCATGCACACACATCAACATAAGTACTTGGAGTCTGAACTGTCTTGGGAGAACACCTAAGGAGACTGTCATAATAAATGGCCAAATTCTAACATGTACCAGCATCAGTGTAATCCTGTGCATGGTAATCGGAAGAAATTCCTAAAATACCAGCATGCTCCAGTCAGCCACACCGGATGAGGCTTTGTAGGTGTTGGGGGACTTTCTTCTGTTGAAACATGCATAGGACTGTGCCCAGCACCCGTGGAGAAGCCCACCCGTCTTCCAGTTCTGTACTAGAACACGTTCATAGAATATGCTCTGACTAGGTAGATATAAAGCAAAAGAAAGTGCTATTGAGCTAGATGGAAAGGAAGCAATAACAAGGACTGGGTTGGCTTTTCCCTACCGGATTTGCTTGCTAGCATCTTCCACCCATTTGTGTAATATAAATGACACTGATATCCAACTACAATGAGCCATACCCTGGATAGCAAATACAGGTATTAGATATGGTATGCCTCCCTCTTCAGTGTTCTCTTTTTGGATGGGGGTTATTCATTGGTACAATAAATAAATTGATAGACCACTAAATATTAAAAAAGTGAGCAACAGTAAAAACATGAAAAGAAACCACAAGGCAAAGCCGTAGCAATCATATACGTACTGTAGTCCATGGAAAAGAAAGCAGGGAAACTTTATTCATTTATGTATTTATTAGCCATATTTATATACCAGTAAATATGTTACAATCCCCATGTGGTTTGCATACAAATATTAAAATTACATTTTAAATACAATTTTTAAAATAATTATGGCCATAATCATAATTAAATAATAATGATGATAATTTGAGAAAATGCTGATCATCAACACTATCAGTGCCTGCCTTTTATTGGTGGGAGGGAATTCTACAGAGCAGGACCGGCAACATAGAAAGCTTTGCTCTGGCAATGCTCTGGAGGCCACCAGGAGAGCCTCCTTTGAGCAGTGCAGTAACCAGACAGGCATGCAAAGTATCAACTGGTTCTTGATGCTTGCAATTAAAATCTACTCATCGTATTTGTCTGCTGTTCATGCTCACAGCTGGTTTGGACAAAGTGGGTGGAGGATCCCATTTTTGCCTCACAATAGCTGTGTCCATTCGATCATCACCCTAAAAGAGATTTCTTGCTCCAGGCTGTGCAGGAAGCTGAAGGACTGCAGGAGGCTTTCAGCCCAGCTCTCCCTTATTCAGCTCCCTGCATCTAAAAGAGAATGCTGTAGAGCTAGAAAAAGTGCAGAAAATAAAATGATCACGAGGCTGGAGCAACTCTGGAAGGAAAGGTTACAATGCTTGAGACTGCTTAACTTAGGAAACAGTGGCTAAGGGGAGACACGATAGAGGTCTACAGGATTATGCATGGAGATGGAGGCATTTTTCTCCTTTCATAATACTGTAACCAAGGTCATCCCAAGACACTGATTGATGGGAGATTCTGGACAAATTGAGAGCCAGTTTAGTGTAGTGCGGTGGTTAAAAGTGTCAGACTGGGATCTGGGAGATGCAGGTTCTAGTCTCTCTTCAACTGTGTTGCTCACCGGATGACTTTGAGCCAGTGACTGGGTGACTGACTCTCATCCAAACCCACCTCCCATCGTAGGGAAAAGATTAAAAAGAGAAGAATTATGTAAGCCACTTTGAGTTCCTTGAAAGGAAAAAAGGTGGGATAATAAATATAATAAATACAATAATTAAAGATGAAAGGATGTACTTTTTCAAATAGTGCAGAGTTAACTATGGAATTTACTTCCACAACATATGGTGATGTTTGGAAGGATTTAAAAGAGGACTGGAAAATTCCTGGAGGATAAAGGTATTAATGGCTACTTGCCTTGATGGCCATATGCCGCTTCCAGCAGCACAGGCAGCCTGTTTCCATATACTAGATACTGGGGAAAATGGGTAGGACGGAGAGGTGCATTCATGTACAGCTTGTGGGTTTCCTATGCACAGCTGGTTGCCCATGGTTTGAACAGAATGCAGCAGCAGGGCACTTCTGATGTTTTTCGTATTTTATCAACTCCCCCTGTCTTCTCCAACCTGGGTCTGTTGCTCCTGTCATTCCCAGGAATTGCAGTCCAACCCATCAGGACAGCACCAAATTGGGGAAGGCTGAATTACAGCATACTGGATGCCTTGGCCAACTCAAGAGATTATCATCAACTTTCACTTCTTACTGTAGGAACAGATCAGGGTAACTTAACGTGGCCACAGCCAAACAATAAGTGATATACAGTATCTTTTATAACATCTCCTATGTCAAATTGAATGGGCTTTTTCCACAGAAATGTGTCACAAAACATCAGTTAAGTCTCTTAAAGAGCTGCAGGGCATTCCCCCCATACCTTTCTGAATGCTATTATTAGCAAAACTCTTAAACCATTTTTATATTTGAATTATAAAATATAAAAAAGACACTTCTTTCATGAGTTGTTTCTGGTTTTGGTTTTTACAATGTTAGTACAAGTAGAAGAAAGTGTGTAATTTTGCTCATGGAAATAATTACCCGAGTAAAATCTTCGCTTACCTCTCTCTCTTTTCTTTCAGGTCCATTTGATGTTCCCTGATCATGTCCCTAAGCCTTGCTGCGCCCCAACTAAACTGAATGCAATCTCTGTGCTCTACTTTGATGACAGTTCAAATGTTATATTGAAAAAGTACCGGAATATGGTGGTGCGCTCATGTGGTTGCCACTAGGATCAGTTTGTCAAGCAGACATTTTACAAGACCTGCAGCTGTGCAAAACTGGCCTCTTGAAATTACCCACTCTGTCTGTGGGCAGTGAAATTGGGGGACCATTTAACCAAACCTCTCCCAAAGGGAAGTGAAATTCTCAAGCATTTGCGGTGCCAGTAGCCCAGCTTCTCCCTTCCCCTTCAGGGCTGTGTTTTTTGCTTTTGCTTGCTTGCTTCTGTTGGCCTATGCTACTCCTCAGCATCGGCCACGGCGCCCCCAAGCCAACATTTTCCAGGGCATTGTGAGGGTGAAGAGAGGAAAAGGCAGCTGCCACAAATAAATGTTAGAGAATATTCACACAAAATCCCAAAGTCACCTTTTTCCATGAAGATGAGAAAAATAAAAAATAATTTAACAATCTCAGAAGTGTTCTCGGAAAAGTGACTTCTACAAATTTATGCCTCAGTTCTTGAATTTTTATAGTATGGGCAAGAGATTGTGTTTGTGTTCTTTCTTTTCTTTTTTTCTCTTTCTTTAGAAAAAAAAGGATCCTATACAACTTATTCCACTTTGTGTTCTTTCTCATTTCATGTAAAGTATTCTGTACATAGTAGCTTTTATTTATTTTAAAAGTATATAGTTTCTTTTGTATGGATGACATTTCAAATGGTTTATTATATGGGTTTATCTTAGTATGTACTAGAACATTGAAGGCAGATTTTCAGTTAATCATGCTGAGATTTATTTCATTTTTAAAAATAAAGCCTTTGTATCGTTCTCTCTCACTCTCTTGCTTTTTTTAAACTCAAGAAACTCCAGAACTCCTGTGACTGTTTTATATTGTTAAAGGAAATTGAATACATTTGGCTACATTGTGCCAATGAAAACTCTGGCGGGCTATTTATTTAGAAAAGGCATTGAGAAAGGGCTAAAAAATGAAATGCTTAGCTAAACACAATTCTCCTTTTAGAAGTTCTACTCCATTAGATAAAGTAAGACGTTGAACCGTGTTTAAATAAATAAATGGCAGTTTAAATGTAGAGGCTGAAAGATTGCACATAATTGTTAGAGCTATTTTCTCTAGCATAATCAGTGTAACTGTAGGAGCCATGTTACTTCTCTCTGCTTGTGGGTTGCAGATTTTGCTGGAGGCATGAAGTTTTGGGAGCTCTGTGGAGAGAGCCTGTTGCCTGTGTCCGGAACTTTTCCAATTAACAGTATGGAGCAGGACGAGGCTGGGAAAACATAGTACAACCTTCTTACCTCAAGGAAATGCTATTGGTCTATTATTTCTAACACTACTGCAATGCATTTGTTTGTCTTTATGGACCCAAAGAAGCACATGAGCCAGACTCCTTTCTAAGAGTTAATGCAATGGAGAATAAACAGAGCAAGAAGTCTCAAACAATGGTCACAGAGTGTTGATTAAATGCAGAATGCCTGCTTGTTCCTTCCATTGCTATCCTAGGCTTGTCTACTCGGACATGAGTTCAGCGGGATCTATTCCTGTGCTCACTTACATGGCAGAAACTACCGTTTAAATTGGAGGACATTACTTCTGAGTAAACTTGTTTAGGTATGCACTGGATATCTCTCTTCAAGCATCGTTTAAGGAGAGATGCGTGTGGGGAGTTGCTGGAAGCACAGACTGTAGCATTCCATGGAAGGAATGTGGTCACAGTTTGTAATGTCAGAAACAAACAATTTGCCTCACTTTTTATTGAATTTAATGTGACAACTGTTTTTTAAAGCCAAAATCCCATTTCACACACTAAAGGTCATTTGTGATTATTACAAAAGCTTGAATACATTCGCTATCAATAAGATTGACTATATATGAACGTGTTTCATTATTCATGGTAGCATCCTGTTTTACTGCATCTAAATGATGGCATCCATTCAGAATGAAGAGTAGTCTTCTAGTCAATTCACCAGTACAGTTATTCTGTTTTTTAAAATCTATCAAAAGACTAAAATACCATGTCTTTTAGTATTTTTTTTACAAAAAAAATTGCATCTTGGTTGCTTTTAATGTTGTTTAATTTACCACAAAGGCTTAGTTAAACTGCAGCTCATGTACTGTAATGTAAAGGTATCGCTTCTGAATTGCTGCTTTGAAGAGCATTTGAGGAATTGTGAAGGCTAAAATAAATTTGGGCAGCATTGGAAGAGGAAATGGGTTTTTCTGTAATTTAGATAGATTGAAGGATATGATATTTGGAACTGAATTTATTTTAAATAAAGTTTGAGAAGTGTATTTTGGGTACATTAAGTAATATATTTTTGAATAAAGGTGTACCATTTTGAGTGTATGAAACTAAAGATTATATTATTCTTTTGAAATGTTCTGTTGAAATATAAATCTATATTTTAAGATGTAATAAACCTGAAATCATAGCTTGTTCTGCTATGTCTTTTCTTTCTGGAATATATTAGATGGAAACATTATACTCACTTTAATCAGAATATGAATGGCCCATTATTAGACGTACAGGGCTGGATCTTTTTGTTCTTTCCATGGAATGCAAGTTCCGCTTACAGAACAGCTTCTTCTGAGAGCAGAACAAAATTTTGGAACCATCCCTTAGGGCTTTTTAATTTTATTTTTCAAGCTGAATAAGCTTTCTCAAAAGGAACATAATGACTGCACATACTGATAGGAACCAAGTGTAAACCTTATGGGGTGTCAATAAAAGTTTGACAATTCTAAAGCATTAAAATTATGCCAGCTGTGGAAATGTACTGTAAACAAGGAAAGATGAGAAGAATGGCCCCTCAAATGTGTTGCTACCAGCGCTTCTGTTTGGAAGGAAAGAAAACTGGCAGAACTATTTTCACATGCTCCAATAGCTTGAACTGCTATATACCACTGGGATTTTAGCTGCACATGCATCCAAGCATGCCTCTTTTTCACAGTAGCCAATAAAACACTTTCCATGTGTCTGTCAACTTGAAAAAGACTTGTATAACATTTCCTTGCAAATCAAGGGCCAGGGTCATTACACTGCCATGCAAAATTGTTAAGAGAGTTTTCTTGGTCTAGTTTTAATTAATTTAAACTTTCTGGCTCCTCTGAGACCATGGTGGATTCCTAACTATATTCCTAAAGCAGCTAACTAACTATGCAACAAACTGCAGGAAAGGACAGCTCAGTGTTACAGAGCTAATTGAGCTTTCATGGACAAATCCTAATCTGCTTGAATTGATTTAACTTGGATCCCATCACTTTGTAACCACCATGAAAGCTACTGGTTGATCCAAGAAGAACTGAATCTCTTGCATTTATTGAGATAATTGATGTGGGGCGCCTGAAATGGTACAGCAAAGTGTAGCTAAAGCAAGCTCTTCTCTCCTTTTCCATAACTCCATTGGAAACCTCATGAAAAGCGCTGTCAAATAAGTAATCTTTTCTTTTCAAAGAAAAGTAAAGGCAAATGTACAACAGATTACAGAAACAGATTAGCTCCTATGCTGAGTGCTACATTTTATGTCCATGGCACAAATCCCCATGATGACGTAACATTCCATTCACATGATGTTTCCAACTTCCCCAATCGTAACGCTACACGTATTTGTGTGTGGCACACAATCACATGATATACTCCAAGGATATTGTGCTGCCTTGAGGAACAAATGCCCCAGGTGGACTGACTGCGTTGTGAAAAAGTACTGGCACAATACTTGTTTGCACACTGGAGTGAGGAGGCTAGTATGGATCCCCCCTTGAATTTCCATTGTCCACCAACACGTTTTTTATTTATGAAGCAAGAGTGCACACTTAGGATTTCTAAACATAAAGCTGGCGACTCCCACAGGGTACCTATCAGGACCAGTGTGTATGCAGTCACCTTTCTTGGCACTCACCAGGCTCTGTGTCCCTCCCAATTTTAATTAGGTTTCTTTAGGTGTTTTCATTTTATTTATAAAATTATGATACTGGCATGCTTCGAAGTGAGGTCCTGCTCTCCAACACTATCTTTATTTGGTTTGAAAAAGTGTTTTCTGTTTTTTGGAGGTAGGAGCTCCCCTTTGCCTTGTATTCAGGTTCTTGAGTGAGTTATTTTTCTTGTAGGCCACCAGTTAGCCTTCTGGGAAATGAGTGTGTTATGACAGGCTGTTGTCCACCATGTTGTATAACAGCTAGTTTATAAGTGGGAAACACCCCCTCCCTGACAGCCACTTTATGAGCATGCCTTCAACACACCCTCAAAACTGTAAATGTGCAACACTCACAAAGGCTGGGGGCCATTGTATTATGTTATAACCATGTCATGACAAACGAGTCTGACTTGGTGCTCAGAAAAGGGGTGGTGCGATAAGTAGGTACAATGCTGTGGTGCGCCTTGAGGCATGGTCTTGGCCTTGGAGGGTAGGGGGTCATCTGCCCAGGATACCTGGAATCCTCCATCTTCAGAAGGCTATAGGCAGCCTCACGGGACAGCACCCTTTGTCCTAAGAAAGAAAAGGATTTCCTACATCCTCATCCTTATGGTTAGTCAATCTGTTCATGCAAGAAAGTGAAATAATCTTTGAAATAATGTTAGCAGATGATAGCTAAAATCTGAAGTTCCTATTTAATAACAATTAGAAAATATAGTCCAAGGAGCAGAAATATTGAAAATATTTCTAAAATATTGAAAAAAGTTTTTGCTTTCTCCTGCATTCTTTCTTACTCGTTTCCCATTCCTTTTTTCTCCCCTTTGAATCATTATTGCTTGAAATTCATCCCATGTGCAACATATGGAGACTGATAAACTAAGGGAAGAATAATATAAATGCCAGCAGAAGACTTTGTGGAGTTGAGCTATGGGGACATCAACATCTGTCCCCAGCTGTGCAGCTATTTCCGAATTATATGGATAAACCCAGGTCGGACAGAGATGGTATTTATTTTCGTTGTTGACGGGAAGATCAAAGGTTAGTCTCAGGAAATAAGGGGAAAGGGTTTGGCATTTAATGAAAAGATTTATATAGTGCATAATTTAATGTATGCTTTGCACATTAACTTAGTGCTAATGCAT